GATAATTGGGATGCCTTCACCATATTTCGTTTAAGACAATGAAGGATTGGTAGATAAATTTGTCCATTACTATATAATAAGAACTTACATTTTCATTGCATTTAACATAACTTTGCTTTCCAAAGGGGTATTCTGATCCATAGTGGAGTGCAGTTACGACCTTACCTCAAGCAATAACAGTGCAGCGTATCATATCGACGTGTTAAAAACTGCGCAACATTGCCACGAGCGCCCTTGGGTCACAGAGCAGATGTTAATTTAGAGGAAAGCCAGGCATTATTCAATATCGCATCACATAGGGAGTGTAAATGAGAGTAAGTTATAGGTGTCTGACCTTGTTTTCGCAACTTGGTCATATCAGTAGTAAGATTTATAGGAACTCACCTGGTCCGCAGTCCATTTTATGCATGATAATTTCCAGAGTCGGACAGTGGACATGGTACATTCCCAGAGTTTCGCCGGAATCGTAATCAACATCGTCAGTGAGCATTCCCATACTTAGCACCACACAACAACTCGTCAAAAAGACAAGTGAAGCTGATCCTTTGACCAATTGTCTGCTAAACAATAGTGGTATATTTCCTTTCCCTCTGGGCTAATCATCAATCCTATATCCTCGTAACATGCCTTCACTATCACAATTTTTACTTGCTTATTTAAATGTGATGTCGTGTGCCCTTTTGAGCGGCTCTTATGAGAACTATCCACACTCCACACTGGCTTTCTCACATTGTCACCCCCCTTCACCCTTGTGCTGGGAATGTTGATCAGAGTCTGACATATTGTTACGCCGTCCTCCATCCCTATGTCTTATCAGAGTCTCCCTTTTGCCCCGTAGGATCCATCTGCTATCTCACTGGCTCAAGTTTGCTAAAACAAACTACAAAAATACTTATTTGTCTTTTGAAAGTATGGCTCCGAGGCTACCTTTCAATAATGTCATTATTAGTCATTCTAATAATGAAAATATAAAACTGTTCAGCTTGTGGACATGACCAAATGACTCGTGTCGTATAGATTAGGGCCTTTGGTTAAAACCAATATCTGCTTTCGGAAGGGAAAAAACGTTTGACATAGGAGTTAAAAGTGATATCGCATTCGTACACATTGCGCTAAATGGAAAAACCTACAGGTGAGACCAATCCTGGAGCCGTGTCGAGCCGTTTTAGAGCTGGAATGCGCTTTTGTCGGGCGAAACGAATCCACTTGGCAATAGGACCATTAAAAGTGTCATTGGCGCACGTATTGCTGGAAGTGGCTATACAGGAAAAATGGTTTAGGTGAGCAGCATCCAGTTCATTATCGACAGAGACAATACTCTCAGAAAAGACGGAAGGGGGTAAGCGACAGAAGCATTGAAGGTCAGACAGAGAGGCGGTGAAACGCTGATCAAGACTAGATATGAAATCCTCGAGGGAAGGATAGCAACCTGATGGGGAAAGAGGAAACGAAGAGAGAATGAAATAAGTTAAATTTAAAAAAAAGTTGAGCTGCTTTATATCTTTTAATAAATATTTAGACATGGTTATTAAAACGGTGAGGAGTTGGAAATACCAACCCAGGCGATATGGGGTAAGGTCCTCTAAAGATGAACTTCAATAGGGCAACCTTTTGCCATTTGGACAGGAATGAACAGCTAAATGTAAGTAAAGGCTGCTGCGCCGGTAGATTTAGGCTATAAAAACTCAATAGTAAAACGAAGCACATATCTGTAAACATGAGTTTCGATTTAGGCATAACTAATCGAGGCCTTTCCTCAAATTTACATTTATCAGACAGAATTATTTTGACCGGAATTAAGAAATGCGAGCTATACAAAAGGTATTGGAGCCTTTGTCTTAAGAGCACCAACCGAAGTCAATGCGAATTATAATGACGCTAATAACAACAAAACAATTATGATTACGCCATGGAGTAAATATCATAAAGTAAGCTGATATGATGAGTCAAAGTTAGAAAAATTGACGAACTCATTTCAGCTGCGAAGATGTCCCGAGTGGTCTGTTGAGATGGCTTGGCATTTAGCCAAACATCCGATGATGAGGGTGGGCAAGATACAGATGTAGACTTGATAGGGTAATTCGGAAATGGGATCGAAAAGAGTGGTGAAAAAGTAGTGGTT